GTGGTCGATGTACTTACCATCCTTCCTTCGGACGCCATGTCTCCGTGTCTCGTTTAGTCAATGTCGAAAACCGACTTACCGACCCCTCCGCCTCTCCATCCTCGTCCTCCTTTTGCCACTTCCGTTTGCCCCCCCACTCCCCCGTCTCTACGACTTTCACGGCGCCACCACTTTGGTCCGTGAAACTTTTTTGGTCGTGACCGTAGACTGGTGATAAGTTGGCCTCGTTTATCATCTTCCGGGCTCGTATTAACGAGACGCCACTCGACCCGCAGAATCCACTGGATTCGCATCGTCGTGGAGATGCTCCAAATACTTGGTTCGAATTTATGCGACGGGCTGGTTCGCGGCACTATACGCGGGGAAACGATCCACCGCTTTATACATAAATTAACTTGTTGCGAAAACGATGAATAAGAATTGTCTCTTGCGGGATAATTCATAGGGTGCATACCGATACTTGGGCAACGGGACGGGATTTTAAGTTCTTTTTTTTTTTTCTTCCCTCGAGATTCGTTACTTTTTTTTTTTATGCGAGAGATTTCATCATTTTTCATGAACGTCGATAATATAATCGAGTATTCCGAATTTTCTTCTTTCTAGTTTCTTTAATTAACGAGATCTTTAATTATTGTTCGAATATAAAAATTACGTTTTGGAATATTCTTAATATTTATTCTTTTGATAAGATGCTTTTATGATTTTTGTGCGTGTATATATATAATGACGATAGACAATTATTTATTTTTTTATAAATCGATAAAAATAATGCTACAAGAGTGCTTTTATTTTAAGACTAGAGATCGGTTAACATTTTTACAAGCTTAATTATCCATGCTCGATAGCGAAAAATTGTGCTCGCTTAAAAAGCGATCAAAGAACGAAATTGGATACCGCATTCTCGATGGTTAAACGTTATTTAAGATCGTTAAAACGCTACTACCTATCTACCGTCTGTCAGCGAGCAACTTTACAGCCGTAACTTAGAGTGCTACGGTAAAACTAAAAAGTGATGGTAAAAAGGAAAAAGAAAGAAAAGAGAGGAGGGGAAAAAAGAAGAAAAAAAAAAAAGGAAATAAGGAACGGTAGTAGTCTACCGAAGTTTTTAGTCTTAATGGAGCAGGTCAGGTTCTCTTATCAATTTATAGTTAGCCGTGTCTCGTGATCCATTAATAGCCCGCGGCGAGACA